CAAGGCCGAAAAGCATAGCATATCTTATTTGTATTTGCTAACCCCTTGAAGAATGTTACTAATGTAGATATCATTTATATCGGGTGTTGCAGTTTGCCTACACATTCCATCTCCTTCTTGGGAAACCTTGCTGTCAGTTTATTTATAATGAAATCAAGAAGCGTTATTTACACTGACATGCGATAATAGACCTCAGGTGGGCCTGTTTCGTTTTTTTTGTCGAACTATTGTCTTAGATATTTTAATTACTGTGCCCACTTAATTTGACAAATCAGCCGCCTAAATATAAAGCTCCGTAAAGGTGTCAGAGGATTTTTCCAGCAAAAAATTTACAAACACAAGTCGAATTAGACTGTACAGAATCATTCAATCTAGGGCGGTCAGAAGTATTGATTCTACTATTGTTTTGCTCACGAAGAGCATTCAATAAGAACCCCAAGAGGTGTCAGAGCTGCGAAGCTTGCAGAACATCCATGTATTCTACCCATGTATTCTGCTTGGGGTTTGCGAGCTGAAGGTAAAGTTACTTCGAGCCAATACTACAATACTAAATAAAAACTCTGACGACAGAATAGAGTACAGGAAAGCAAATGCATTACCTCCTCTACCTTTCGGTGAACTAACAATGGTTTCGAGGACAGTGGGGAGTACTGGAAGGTGTTCCATAAGCGTCAACACGTTTTCAAGCCTTTCTATCCATCTTTCTTCACACAATTTTTTCAAACCATGTCTTCCTGGCTTGAGGTTATGATTTTTTCGCATCTCTTCTTCCAAAGCTTTAAATCTTGCAGCGGAGTCATGGAAACAATTTGCAAGGAGAAATATAAATCCCATGGCATTACTTATGCTGGCAACAGAACGAGCTTTGCTTATATCCAAGTTCAGCATATAGTTGGCACAGTGGCTGTAGATTGCAAGAAGAAAATGAGGGAAATAAGGGCTTGCACACCCTCAAATATTCCACTCATATTGGAGGATCCATCAAAAGCTTGTCCTCGGCAATTAGCCAAATTAAGGTCAAGTTTACTCAGTTCTTGTAAAATTCTGTGAGCGAAGTTTTCACCACTGTGATCCACCCTTTCCCAAACTTGATGAAACCTTCTTCAATCTTATATTCCTTGGTGTTGAAATACCTTCTTTAACAGACAAATCTGTGGTCTCACTAGTGTGAAAAACTTAAGCTTTCTTATTTTGTTTGCAATGTCAGTGATAACTTCGCCAGAGCGTTCTATTATTTCATTCTACGTGGTTTTGCTGATGTAACTGGCATGCCTTTCATAATTTTGTATATTTGAGGCGAGAACGTCAACTGTGAATTTTAGCGGTGCTCTAAAATTTCTTCCGCCGAAACAACTTTCAGTTGTCTCAATAATAAATTCGTCTCTGTGCATGTTTTGGGCACCACATAAAATGACTGATTCAATGAAATAAGGTTGCTACGGTTTTCTTGAATTGTCTTCTTTTAATGATAGTCCGCATGGAACTGGTTTTTCAAAATTTCCACAGTTTTCTGTTACCATTGTATTGACTACTAATTTTCCTAGTTTCACATCGTTAGTTCCACCTTCACAACAACCAAACATTACACAAAATTTGCAGATCCCCTTGTAATCTATATCGCTCTGACTCGTCTTTCCCAATCATGAAATGTATTTCACCAAATTGAATCTAGTGTATTTTCAATCCTCTGGGGTGATGTTCCTGTACCCCCATTAGATCCGCTACTGATACCATCGCAATAAGTATAGTAGCTCTCATATAATTTTCAACGCATTATGTTTGTTTCAAGTAGTTATTCACTTATCCAGCATGTCG